AAAGAAGATGTGGTATATATATACCATGGAATACTACTCAGCCATAAAAAAAGACAAAATTGTTCCATTTGCAACAACATGGATGGACCTGGAGGATATTATGTTAAGTGAAATAAGCCAGAAAGAGAAAGACAAACAGTGTATGATTTCACTCATATATGGAAGGTAAACCAACATATGGACAGAGAGAACTGTTTGGTGGTTACCAGGGGCTAGGGGGGTAGGGGGTGGGCACAAGGGGTAGAGGGATGCACCTATATGGTGACTGATAAACAATAATGTACAACAAAAATATCATTAAAAAAAAGATATGGCATTATAAACCAGTGGGAAGTGAATAAAACTCATTAAATTGTGTTGGTACAGTTGGCGATCCACATGTGTGTGTGTGCATGTGTGGTTATGGATACAATTTAATTAATGAATCTTTTACTTGAGTGGTTTTGGGTTTATTCATGTGCTCTATTTCTTTTTTAATTCATTGAGGTGAAATTCACACAACACAAAAAGAGGCTGGGCGGCGGGTTGGCACTTGATTTCCTCCTGTTTTCTTGCTCCATGGACTCTGGCTGTTCAGCAGAGCCCTTCCTGGGGCTGCTCTGCCCTCCTCACCTCAGGGGCCCCTTACTTGAGCCCGCCCTCAGAGCTGACCTTGACCTAGAGCCTGGGCGACACACAGACAGTGAGGGGGCAGGGATGGGGGGGTGGTCCGCCAGCTGTGGGTCGAAACAGACACACCCGGTTCTGCCTTCTGCTCTCCCTGAAATCAAGGGCGCTCCAGATCACTGCCACTCCTGGCGTAGATCCTTCCAGAGACCTGCCTTTCAGTCTCGTTGAGAAGGGCCTGGGGTGCTGGTGGGGTGGGGGGGTAGGGAGCAGCTGAGGAATCTCTGGGTACCAGGGATGGGCTGGACAGGACAGAAAGGCACCCAGGGTGAGTGTGGGGACAGGGTCCACAGGACCTGGGCCATGAGTGCCCAAGTTCTTCACAGGACCCTCAGAGAGCTGCGTGTGTTGATCACCCTCAGGTCCCCTCGATGGCCACGGCCCTCACCCCTCTCGGTAGGCGAGACAGCACAGAGGGGAACTGTATCCATGGTGATATGGAAACACCACCACTGAAGGCCGTGGGATAAAGGGTGCAGATGCAATCAAGGGAATCTACACAGGCAAAGAGACATGATGGGACAACAGCATTGGAGGAGGGGGCAGCAGGAGGGACCCAACACTTATCACTCCTGTGTCGATTACACCCAGGACAGAGGGTGAGATCTCCCCAGAGCACCTCCACCCAAGATGGAATAGCTTCAGGGATCGCTCTGCCAGCAGTTTCCCGAAAGCTCCTCCGATTCACACCTGCTGCTAATTAATCTGCTGGGAAGACGCCCCTACTTCCCCACCAACACTCCTTTGCTCCTTTTTATTCCCACAAGGAGATCTCCATCCCAAGGGCAACAATGGCTCAGCTAAAACTCCCCGTGTTCCGGGCCTCCAGAGGCAGCCGTGAACACGACCTGTGGAGAGGCAGCCAGGGAGCCTGGAGACTGAGATCTGGTGAAGGCAGCACCCACCTCCGTGCAGCGGTGATGACATAAACCGTCACTGTCCAAGAGGCGGCCAGAGGAATCCTGTCAGTCATGGGCCATGGACTGTCAGTCAATGTGTGTGTCCCCCCAAATTCATATGCTGAAGCCCTAACCCCCCGTGTGATGGTATTTGGAGGTGGGGCCTTTGGGTTGAGTAGGTTTAGGTGAGGTCATGAGGGTGGGACCCCCATGAGGGGATTAGCCTCCTTACAAGAAGAGGAAGAGAGGGGCCAGCCCTGGTGGCCTAGTGGTTAAGTTTGGCGCACTCTGCTTCATCAGCCCGGGGTTTGGATCCTGGGCTTGGACCTACCCCACTCGTCAGCCATGCTGTGGCAGCAACCCACAGACAAAACAGAGGAAGATTGGCACGGATGTTAGTTCAAGGCTAATCTTCCTCAGGAAAAAAGAAACAAAGAAGAAGGAGAGAGACCACAGCTTGACTTGTGTGCTCTCTCTCACTCTCTGCCCTGTGAGGGCTGAGGGGACTTATGCAGAAGGCCAAGCACAAAATTAAGACTGCAGAGGACACCTGTCCCTTCACTTCTGCTGTGGAGTCCTGGTCCAAGATCCACACCTTCTCATCACCTCCATTCCTTCAATAGGCAGGTGGAGAGCAAAGCACCAGGCACGGATTTGGGCTGGGAGCAGGGTGGTGTGGAGAGGGCTCCAGCCAGTCCCTCCCCAGAGGAGCGGGGCCTCTGTCCTGCTCTCTTCAGCCAGGGTCTGTCCCGCCCCCGTCTCTCTGGCATCATTACTTTCTCTTTCACTTTTCAACAACGCTGGGTCCTGCTACACAGAGAGGCCTGTCTCCATCAGAGGGCGAGCTCTGCTGAGAGGGGAGGCCCGAGAGAAGGTGGGTCTGAGCCTGAGGAAGTCTAACCACCTGAGGGCCCTCCCACCTCTGGTGCCAAAGCAGGAAGGAGGTGGGGCCTCAGCTGAGAGGCCTGGGAGGTCCCTCTCAGATAAGGGGCTTTCCTAAGGCAAAGGCCTGTGATAGGAAGCAGTTCTCCAGCCCCGGAGACAAAGGGCAGGGCTGGGACAAGCACACCCAGGAGACGACAGCCAGATGGCCTGGCCCAGGTACCACTGCCCGCTCTGTCCTGCTGGGCCTCCTCTGGGCCGTGCCTTCCTTCGCCCCTGCTGTGCCTCTGTCCTCGGCCTCCTCCTCCTCCCTACTCCCAGCCTCGCCTCTCTCCCTCTCTGGGCTCCTTCTCTGCAGGACCCACTCCCATCTGGGGTCCTGGCGTGGTTCTGAAGATGCCCTCACTATGGCCTCTGAACCAGCCTCTCCCGCACCTCCCCGAGCCCTGTCCGTCCTCCTGGCCCACCTCTCAGTCTGAAAGTCTCCGTGGTTGGGCTGTCCCCACCCTGCCTGTGCGAGGCTGCCTCCTCTGTGGGGCTTCAGGAAGTTCCTGTGCTCTGTTAACGCTTAGAATTTGACTAAAGGGTGATTGAAGCAGTTGGTGTATCTAGTCTAAAGTACTTCGGTTGATTTTCTCTAATATTTACACCGCTATAAACACCATGCGAGAAGAGCTCTCTGAGGCAAGAAGATAAGTGATCTCTTAGAAGGAGATCCCAACTGTGAGCAGAAAAGTAAAGCAGACCGTTCTCCAACATGTCCACCAGCTAGGTACCCAGGCTTCACGCCCATAACCCAACCACTAACATGGAGCTGGAGACAAGACGCAATGATCAGGAGAAATGCTCGTATTTTAAAATCAAGTACACAAGAAAGCCACATCAAGACTGCACACTCCCCCAAGCGCACGAATGGGACAGCTGGAAGCGTGTTTGGCTGGACGGGGGCCCGGCTCCGTCTCTTCCTGGCCTGTGGCCAGGCAGCCTGCTTTCCTCTCCGTGCCCCTCTTCCTCCTCTGCAGATGAGGACGGCTCCCACAGGATTCGGGAGGAGTGGATGAGTTGAGGCACATCAAGCACTTAGAAGAGTAGCCTGAGACTCTGAATTTAGGTGTTAACCTGATATTTAAAAAAAAAAATGCATAGGTGAACAGTCAGCAATGGATTGAACTGAAATGTTAAAAGCTATTATTTTGGGGTGGAGGGGTTTTTATTAGTCTGTTCTGTTTTTCTGTTGGGTTGGGAATGGGTGGGCAGGAAAACTGGGGTGGGGTGTGCTGTTGGGAGGAGCAGAGCCGGCCCCTGTGGGAGGGGTCACTGGTCCCTGCTGTCCCTGCCCCTCTCCCTGTCCTGACCCCAGTCTTCCTGCCGGGAAAGGCAGCAGGGAATTCTCAGGGCCGACGAGGGTCCAGGGGCTGTGTTCAGCAGACGCCAGTGGGAATAACTCCAGCGAGCACTCTCCCTCCGTCTTCACGTTTCTCTCTTTTGTCCCCAGAAACCCCATGGATCGGTTGGATCCCCGAACCTTCTACTTCCACTTCCGCAACCTGGAATTCGCCAATGGACGGAACTGCTCCTACCTCTGCTTCCAAGTGGAAAGAGAGGAGAATGGCTCACTTGTCCTCATTGACACGGGCGTCTTTGTAAACCAGGTATGACCCGGATGATACTCCCACTGCAGGGGGGAGCTAAGGCAGTTGAGGATGTGGAAAAGACTGTAAGAAGTAACATGCCAGATGGGGGGCTGTCAGTGGGGTGTGCTTCTTCCCACAACATTTTCCTAAGTCCTTGGCCCGTGATGTCCCTGCTTGATGCTCCTGGAACCTGATACACGATGGCGTTTGCCTTATCCCCCAAGAACTTGTTTACAGTCTGTTGATGACAAGTCTTGTCATCCAGCTTGGCCTCAGCAATCTTGGAGGAAAGAGCATCTTTAGAAAGTTCCGCCTGATGTACTCTTTCTCTGGCCCTGGTAACTGCTCTGTTTGGCGAGTCCTCCCCCCACCACACTCCTGACTCCTCTGTGTCCAGGACCTGTGATCCCAGGGGGAGAAGCCACATCCCTGGTGCTGCCTTCCCCCCCGGCCTGCTCCAAGCCCTCAGCCCAGGTCTCCCTGGCTGACCACCGCAGCAGAAGCAGTTACAAGATCAAGCCCACCACCCCGCGGCCCCCACGCCAACCAGGGCCCACTCCTGCGAAATCTCCTACCACAGGCCTGCCCCCTCTTCTCCATCCAGGAGAAACTGCAGGCTCTTCAGGACCTGTGGGGGGAGGGAGCCATGGTGGGATGGGGGTGCTGTAGCAGTCCGATGCCATAGAAACATAACCACACGTGTCATTCAACTGCTTCTAGTACCCAGTGTGCAAAAGGTAAGAGAAACTGATCAAAGTCCTATTGATAATGTGTCAGGCAATATATCTAGGATATTATTTCAACATATAATTAATATAAAAATTCTTCATGAGATACTTTACATTCTTGTTCATACTAAGTCATTGAAATGAGGTGTGTCTTTGCCACACATCTCAATTCAGAGGAGCCACATTTGAAGTGCTCAGGAGATACGTGTGGCTAGTGGCTGCCCTGTAGGACAGCGCAGCTCTGGGGCCCTCTCCAGCAGACACCACCCAGGGAATAAGCCTGGACCCCAGAGGGCCTGGCCCGGAGCAGGCACTCAGAATGCTTGTAGAATGAATGAATGGGAGAATGGATGTTGGAACTAATGGAGGAGTCACTGAATGCGGGAAGGGATGACTACATAAGAAAAGAAGGGAGGGGAGAGATGGAAAGAAGGGATAAATCAATGAACAACATGCCCCTGCTCCCCACTCCACCCAGCCCTGCCACGCTGCCTGCTCTGTCAGCCAAGATGGTCCCCGTCCTTCTCCATCTCTCCCAGGTCTACCCCGAGACTCGCCGCCATGCAGAACTCTGCTTCCTCTCTTGGTTCCACGCCAGGCTGTCTCGTTACAAGCATTACCATGTCACCTGGTTCATATCCTGGAGCCCCTGCTCTGACTGTGCACAGGAGGTGGCTGAGTTCCTGAAGAGGCACAGGAACGTGAACCTGAGCATCTTCGCTGCCCGCCTCTACTATTTCTGGCGCCCAGAATTCAAGCAGGGCCTTCGCAGCCTGGATAGCGCAGGGGCACGGGTGGCCATCATGTCCTTCAGGAGTGAGAGAAGAGGGAGCTGGGGGCAGGGCTGTGGGCGGGACTAGGGTCCGGTGGGGGGACCTAGAATGCTCCCAGGGTGAGTATGTGGGAGGACAGCCTGGGAAACTGAGGCAGGACTGACGACATCTGGCAGGGAGACCAGACCATGAGCGGGGAGGGTCAGGAGAGAAAGGCCTCCCGAGACCCAGACCTGAGTGCCCTCTCCCCTCTTTATCCCAGATTTTATACACTGTTGGAGAAACTTTGTGCACCACGGTGAAACGTGCTTCAATCCTTGGAGAAACATTCATAAAAATTACATGGTCCTGGTGGCAACGCTTGAGGACATTCTCTGGTGAGAGCCTCCCCAGCCGCCTCCCTCTGTCCTGTCATCCGTTGAGAGGCTGGAGCTGACGTACTGAATTAAGGACACAGGCACAACTCGGAGATACTGCGGGTTCTGTTCCAGACCACCCCAATAAAGCCAATGTCACAATAAAGCCAGTCACATGGAGTTTTGGTTTCCCAGTGCATATGAAAGTTGTAGTTAGAGCCCGGCACCAAGGCCGAGTGGTTAAAGTTGTGCATGCTCTGCTTTGGTGGCCGGGGTTCACGGGTTCGGATCCTGGGTGCGGACCTAATCCACTCACCAGCTAGGCTATGGCGGTGAGCCACATACAAAAAAATATAGGAGGATTGGCAACGAATGTTAGCTCAAAAAAAAAAAAACTCTATTTACACTATCCTATAGTCTATTAAGTGTGCAATAGCATTATGTCTAACGAAACCCAATGTATATGCCTCAATTTTAAAATACTTTATTGCTAAAAGCTGCTAACCATCCTCTGAGCCTTCAGCAAGTGGTAATCTTTCTGCTGGTGGAGGCTCTCGCCGCGATTTGACGGGTGCTGACTGACAGGGTGGTGGGTGCTGAAGGCTGGGTGGCTGTGGCGATTTCTTAAATAAGACCACAATGAAGTTGGCCGCATCCGTTGACTCTTCCTTTCACAAACGATTTCCCTGTAGCAGCCGATGCTGTTTGATAGCATTTTCCCCACAGTGGAACAGCTTCCAGAATCGGAGTCAATCCTCTCAAAGTCTGCCGCTGCTTTGCCAACAGAGTTTCAGAAATATTCTAAATCCTTTATTGTCACAGCAACAAGCTTCATGGCGTCTTCACCAGGAGTAGATTTCATCTCATAAATCCACTTTCCTTGCTCATCCACGAGAAGCAACTCCTCATCCATGAAAGTTTTATCATGAGATTGCAGCCATTCGGTCACATCTTCAGGCTCCACTTGCAATTCTAGTTCTCTTGCCATTTCTACCACATCTGCAGTTACTTCCTCCGCTGAAGACTTGGACTCCCCACAGTCACCCACGCGGGTTGGAATCAACGTCTTCCAAATGTCACAGGCCGTGGACTCTGGCCTCTGTCTCCTGTCTTGCTGAGGAGTGCAGGCGTCCCTGTCTCTAAGGTCCTTGATGTTGTTTGTCTCAGCTATGTTCCAGGAAGGAGATACAGACACCAACCGCCTTGAACTGGTCCAGACCGCGCTGCACGACTGAAGCACGTACAGAATAACCAAGGAGCACCCTAGAGCAACCTTTGCTTCATTAACACGGTAAAACTCCCAGCCGGCGGGGGGGAACAGCACACTTTTAGGTACAGAGGAAGCACAGACACCTAAGGAGATGGGGCGAGCTTATACCCACCTCTACATGAAGGATGAAACTTCCCGTTTGATTATTCATTCCCTCCTCAAATGAAAAGCATCCACGTTCCCTTATTCGGGGAGCCACAGCTTTGGAAACAGTTCTCTGTGGTCTCCTCATTTGCTGCAAATAAGGTTTACTCTGTGAGACAACTATTTCTGGTGAAGGCTCTGATTTCAACTCACCAAGAAGTGAACTCACATTGGTTCAGTCACACAAACTCCTGTTAAT